ACTTGGATTAATTTTAATTTGGTTATTTATCCTCTGAAGAAGTGACTTACACTAAACCACGAAACGTCAGAAAATTTAATTTTTCTACTCACTGGGATATTACAAATAAATCAATTTATTTATAACAATTTTCCCAATGTTCAATTTATTCGAAATTATCAAATCAAACCTTGCTAATGATACATATTTACTTTCTTGACAAATGACACTTTTACAGTGGCATAAGAAATTTGAAGTTTGATAATTTAATGTGCATGAATTTCACATTATTGATTGTCTCATTATGACTGGAAGTTATTCCTTCCAATCTCAAACAGCTTTATTCATTATATTCTTCACTGATATTAGTCATTTCTCATTTAACAAATTTTAATTGTTAGTTGTCGCCACAACTTCCGCAAACATTGAATGTCCAGCTGATAATTTTAAACTTTCCAACATAGTTAGTACATAATCGAACTCTGGTCATATATAATTTGATAAAACCATAGTAATGAATTGCCACAGATCGAATTTGTATGTTCAAAAAGTAATTGTGTTATACCTTTCCTTACTGTGGTACTATTATCCTTATTTTATTTCACCATTTCTTTCAATCATTCGCTTATTTCTATTGGATCATTTGAAAATCTTTCAAATTCATAGTTTATTTTTAACCGATTTATCTCAATCCATGGTATTCTTAGTTACTATTAATCTTAACTTTTTTACTATGTATTCAGCTAATTCTTTAATTTTACGACCTTTTTTCAACTTTCTCGATTTTCTCAAACTTTCTGTATGTTGTATTTGTTTTCAGTATGCTTTTTTTCTTTCAACAGTATTAACATTATTTGGATCATTACTATGATACTTAATATTTACATATACTCAACTTTACTAGTATAATTATGGTAATTTCCATGGATAATGTTAATTTTAAAATATCATAGGTTGTCAGCAGCTGATCAGAAACTAGAGGAATAAAAGGAAATCATGTCACCTTTCTCAAACCTTTGTTCAATTTAATGAGCGCAAATATGTCTGAAGAAAATTAATTCAAACACTAAGTATACAGGAAGGCTGTCTTTTCAAAGTGATAAATTTCAGCGTTACTTATATACACAACTAATCTGTAACGGAGTTTTTACATCAGTAATGTATTGTGGTTATTCACTGAACACCACTGTTATATCATAAATTATTCATCTTTAATTTAAAACTGATGATAAAACAGATTAGCTATTTTTCCATGCAAAAGTTAATAATCAACTTCGACGTAAAACTTAGTCAATCTTCCATATTATTTGACTTACAATTTGAAACCGATTTCCTCTCAAATCATTATTGGTTGTTTTTTTTTATTTCATTTTAGACAGAAACTTAAATTATTCCTTAGGCAGAGTCTACCGTTAATGATTATTCTAACTTTGAATGGTAAATCCGGCTGGATAAATAATAATGATGATAATAATAATATTAATGATAATAATGATAATAATAATAATAATAGTGATAATAATTGTAAAGTATGATCGATAAACCAACACATCAATGATAAAGTGAAGCGCACACCACCACATTAACTTTCTTTGACCTTGTATGACTATGTCTTGTTTATTCACCAATCACAATTTTATGTTCATTATAAAATAATATTTGCCTTGTTGACTCATTTTTCCTATGCTCTAGTTACTGTTCGGTATGTTATTCATGTCTCTGTTTTTCTCTGTATTAATAGACTGTACTGATTATTTTGTATATTAACGGTTTTAATTTATTATAAGCAATGATGGATAGTGGCTAGCAGTGGAATCCAGGACGCGCGTTTCGTCCTATTTGGGAGTCGTCAGCTGGGTGTACCTGCATCTCAGAGTTAATATTCACTCTAACGAGTCTCAAATGGGACGAAACACACGTCTTGGATTCCACTGTTAGCCACTATCCATATTTGCTTATAATGCTTGTAAATTAAAGCAATATCGAGGCATACGCACAGTATGCACATATACCAATAAGAGACTGATCAATTTCAGTCCTAAACATCAATGGGGAGATTCAAGTAAAACAATACAAGGTGTTAATTTATGTTTTAGAAACAGATAAAGTTTATCAAGCCAAATAGCTTACTTGTTCTGACTTTGGCTAAACCAAGACTCTATGCTCGACAGTCTAGAGAATAGCTTAGAGTTACACCTGTAGGAAATTGCTTCCTACAATAATAATAAATATACTTAATCCCATATAATTACTTATTAAGAAATTCTTGTAATGAAATACAACCGTGATACTGTAATGAATCAGTTAAAAAGATTACACATTCTAGTATATTATGTTATTTCATAAATAAATGATAAATGTTTATCAAGACTAATTTATATTGACATTCGAGCTCATACAGTAAATCAGTTGTCAAATATTTTTGAGGTAATAAATCCTTTGAGTTGGAGAACACCTTAGACCACTTTTAATAACTCTAGCTAAGATAAATCATTATCAAATTGCATTTATGTAGATAAAGAACAAAAGTAACAAGACTACAGGTCTTGGATGAATGACAATATACAGCTCAAGGTATGAGTTTTGTTTCTAAAGAAATTTATAAGAAAAAATATTCACAAATATATACATATGGATACAAGTCAAATTAATGGTTTATTTTTTATATTTATCTAAGTCTTCACTACTTCACTTGGCGTTCAGTTAGGTTTTGTAAAAATGTATGTTATTATTTGGTTTCAAATGAGGGATTTTTGATAACTGTCGTTAACTAAATAGGGTATATTATGATATGTGGGCGAGAATGATAATGATTGGTTGTCTGCTTAGTCAGACATGTAAATAGTCTGACAGATGTCATATCAGTTATATATTCTCCTATCCTTATTATTATTGATTGTTCATTGTTGTTGGATTGTATCGGGTTTTAGTGTGGAAATATATTTACGTCCTAGTCAGGCTAATCACATGTTCTTGATCTGAGTTGTGTTGACGTCCTGTGGAATAGACACTGGAGGGGATCTAGTGTAAATATTTGTCTAAGGCAGATTAACGTCCCATACGTGTAAACATGGAAATCCAACCGTTATAACATATTGTTAAAAAGTACTATCGTGAATCTTTTAAAAAAATATGCATGTAGGTTGATTAAGAGAATTTGATCTGAACTAAATAATGAACAAATATGGCATTAACTACTATTGAATGAACAATCAGTAAGAACATCATATTTCTATTTTAGGATATTTTACACCTGGGTACACCACAGGGGTTGTAACACTGGATGATATGGTTTTAAATCATGTGAAAGCATCATTTCATTCAAAATCATAGATATGTCTTACTGAATTATATCAACTATAATCTAACTTAGTTTCATAGCTTTCTATTGATTACTTACGACGATATTAAATGAAGTGTGTCACGATAATGAGTCACTTGATCTTGTGATCCTACCTTCAGTTTAAAACTTGTCCTCAGATTATGTCAACATTTTTGAAAGTGGTTAACTTTAACGATCTTAATGTAATTGATATTTTCCATTAATATTTATTAACATATCCGATTTAACGGTAGTTTGAGTCAACGTCCATATGTTTATTAACTGTTGATAAACATGAATGCCATTAAACTTCTAGAAATTTCTAAGCTAACAATCAATGTTTCTTTTATGTTGCTGCTAATGTTATCATTTCAAATAATGGTGATGAACGCTATTTATATACAAAACATCATGCCAAGAGAATTTACTTGATTCATAAATTATTTTGACTGCTTACGTCATTCATAATTGGCTTGTTTATATTATTAAATATAGACAAAGAATAAATTCGAAAAAGAAAAAAACTTGAGTGAATAAGATTTGAAAATAATAATTTGCCAATCACTAACCTAAACTTATAATCTTGTTTTAACAAATGTTTACGATGTAATTTGAAGAAGATTAGTTATAGCTGAATCTATCTCTTTTAAATTACTAAAAGTATTATAGCTAAAGTTGTATTAATTTTGCACGTGTGTTCACATTTACACAATTAACAACTTATAGATACAATCATATTACGATCATTTTTGAAGAAACCCGCACAACCTATCAAGCTTTTTACAAAAAACTCATTGGATGGGTAAAAGTTCATTTTGATTATGTTATGTCCCGATAAGCATAATAAATAGTAACTCTTGGGATCAATTTATGGACAAATACTAAGCATATATTTTTAACGTATGATTGTTAAATAACTAAACTATTCATATTCATATCCCTCTTATTATGAGCTTTATCTTGGCCTATGAAATATTATTATACGATTTACCATTCTTGAATTATGCCCTGTCTATTATTCACTACCTCCCTCATTCACAGACACACTTGGCCGAATCTTGTACAAATGTTGTTTGCTATTTTATGATACTATGTGGTCTGTTTGATTGGTATATAAACCCAGGATGTTTGAAATAAATGATTCATACCGCAGAGGCTGAGATTGGTGTTCTGGACTTAACTGGCTGGGCAGGGCAGGAAGCAGGACCGGTAAGTACTATAGACTGCTCTCACGGGTTTTATGCGTCACTGGTCCGATCGATAATTCGCTGCTCTCTAATTGGCGGTATCGTTACGTTATACATTAACAGGGCATACAGGTCACAAGTTACGACAATTGGCGATGGGGTGAAAACCAAGAACAAAGGACACAAACGACGAGTTATAACAGATTAATCAATCTTCATCAAGTACGGTAAAAGTGAGTTCAATCGTTAATGAATAAAAAAGAAACATTTTTCTGTGGCTGCTCGAAGGATTCGGATCGTGGATGCGCATTGCTGAGTAGTCCCACAATAGGACGAAACAGTCCTCTAGTGCTTCCAGGTTTTCAATGGCGGTCTAACAACAATCAGTTCATTATCTCAATCAAAAGCTTAATGATCTCCACAACCCTATACTGATACAATTTTAATGTACATTACAATACGGTATACTTGATACTTAACCCAACTCATCAATAAAAATTGATTATAATAAATTTTATTCTGAGAATAATATATTGTCTAACCTGAAAGCTTAATAGTTTATTTTAAAATGTAACATTTACATAAAATCATAAAAAGATATCTAGTTATCATGTTCACATTCCATAATGTCAATAGTATAATTTTTTACATGAAAATATTATGATTAAATATTTATTTGAGTGAACTGTCCTCCATTTCTTCAAACAGAAGCAGATCTCTTTGTAGACACCGGCTGACTGACTTCAAAGATTGATGAATCGGCAGAAAATTTTATCTCATCATCTATGCTACTTGCATCATTTGTTAGTAATATATCATCATGATAATGATGTGGGTTATGACGCTTGTTAATATATTCTTTGTCAAAATCAACGCTTTCTTCACCATAATCATTCACTTCATTCCTTTGCATCTGTTGTTCCTGATGAATTCTAGGATATCTTTTGCATTGAAAATATGGAACTGAGTTAAGGTCTATTTCAATTTCATTTGATCGTGAATTTAAAATTTCTAATGGAAACGGATTTATTAATGGCTGATTAGATTTGAGTACATCCATATGATGATGCGTTGATAAAGATAACAATGGATGTATCGTCTCACCTCTTGATAATAATGGTGGTTGACTGTTTAAAGACTGTCTTGGAGGTAGAACATATTGATTATTAAAGTTATGCTTATGAGATTTTAAAACATGAGCAACTAATGAGGAATGTACTGGTGTAGACATTACCTCATTAGTATTTTCATGCCTACCAGGCAAACTGAAATGACCCGGTGAAGTGAACTCATAAGTATGTGGTTTAAAAGCAGACATCGGATGAAAATGAGGTTGGATTAAATCGATATCATTAAACGAACTACTCTTATTTTCGGACAGATTATCACTTTCAATAGTTTCATTTCCTTCTGTAATTTCTGGTTGCCGATTATTTACTAAATATTCTTTAGGAGAAATGAAATACTGATGGTTTCGTAGTTTTTCATTTGTACAGTTACAATCATCAACTGAACATTGTTGTATTATTAACGGAGAATATTTAGAATCTTGAAAAGAATGATATGGATTATAACGATATGAATTTATACAATCTGGATAGATGTAACGATTTCTACATGATAGATCATATCGAAGAAAATTTGATGAAGTCATTAATTCATCTGAACAATTGTCTTTATGTAAATTAGAAGAAATTTGTTGCGAGATTTCATCATAGATTAGAATTGGATGACGTACAGTCGACTGTTCATTCTGACAACCGGTTACACAGTTTATTAAGAATGGATTATTATTATTATTATCGCTATTATTATTATTATCATTAATATAGGTAATACTAGTACTAGCAGTGGTTTTATTTGTAGATATTGGTTTATTTAACATATTTTCATGTGAATTATCATTCATTGTATTCAAAGATGAATTTAAAATACCCGGTGATGTTAATGATGCTAATGATTGTGATAATGGATGAAACTTTTTTAAACAAATTAAACAAAATTTAAATTTAGTTAAATTTTCATTTTTTGAATTAATATGATAAGTATCAGTATGATGATTAATATGTAAACAACTATTGACTGTTGACGTCATTGCCATTGTTGTTGTTGCTGATGCTGATGATGGTGGTGGTGGTGATGTTCTTATTGATGGTCCCGTTTTTATGAAACAATTTGAATTTGATAATGACATATGATTACAATTAATAAGATTATGATTGATATTTTGTTGATATATTGAATGATTATAATTACTATAATCATTTAATTGTTTTCTTTCATAATTATCTCCTTGTAATTGTTGTGTTAATAATGATGTTTGTAATTCATTTTGTTTATCAGCACATATTACATCACCACGTAAGCGTTGTAATTCTTGTGCGTGTACAGCTGCTTCTAATTGATCACGTTTTTCATCTTCAGTATTCATTGTTAAAAATCTTAAAACTAATAAATTCATAACAGAACTAACAACAGTTAAACCAAATAATATAAATATTAAACTAAATGCAACATAATCCGGACGTTTAGCTAATGAATTATTACGTTGTAATGCAACAAAATCACCAAAACCAATTGTAGTTAATGTTATAAAACAATAATAAAATGAATCTAAATAATCCCAATCTTCATAACGTGAAAATACTATTGCACCAATAGTCAATACAATTGAACCAATTGTAAAACTAACAATCATTAAATGTGTTTGTGAAATAAGTTTATTTATTTTACACATAAGATTTGATTTTTTTAATAAATATGTAATAATTGTATTCATACGTTCACCAATACTTTGAAACATAATAAGACATAATGGTATACCAGGTAGAGCATAACACATACAAAATATTTTACCACCAAATGTTTTCGGTGTACTATGACCATAACCTATAAAATAAGAAAAAAAAAATGATAATGTAACCATGTGAAAAAATAAACAAAAAAAATAAAATAATTGATTTTCTAAAAAATTGAGAGCTAATCAAAAAAACAAAAAAAAATTGTAATTTACTAAGAAATTTGAATCACTCAGTCAGTTATTAAAAGAAAAATAACTTTGAATCTGATATAAATATTCATCATCCTAAGTTTATACACTTCACATGACTATAAATAGAGAAAACTAATAAATTCAATAATGAATTTGAGATAACTAACATAGTCAATCGGAAAAAACGAAACATGAAAGAATATGTCAATACTTATATTCGATTATCACTAGTACCTAAAATAAAATTTTACTCATGTTCATTGACATATAAACTTCTTGAATGAATGTTGGAAAAGTGTTTATAGCTACAAGTTGACAATCCATCTAGTCTTTGTCATCGTTCTGTACCTGTGTTACAGGATTCAAATGCTAGTGTAAACATCGACACTGGAAGGTAGATTTATTCAGCTGATAAGTTTTAAAAAGAACGAAATCCGTATCCTTCACTCTCTTTCCAACAACTATCTTGAATATAATCAAAAGAGTTTTTAAAAAGAATGAAAATAACATGAGAAACAAATCATGAAATAATATCGGGACTTCAAATCTGAAAAAAAAGATAAAGAATAGATACATTTTTGCCATTTTAAGTGACATTTTTGTCATCTCACCTAAGATCTACTATTGGCTACAATCATTGAACGAATCCTAACGAGAAGGACTGTACAAAAAATTTTCTCTGAGGTATTTAACATGATAGTATTCTAACGTTTTGTTTTAAATAGGTAGCTAGGTAAATGACCTAACAGTTGTAATAAGATAAATATAAGCCAATTATGGCAACATTGAACCGGTAATCTGTAGTTATTTGCACTGGTCATTTTTTAGTTTCCGATTCGGACTGTAAATAAAATTAATTTATAGGTGTCAATATCAGAGTTCAACTTGATAATTTCAAATAAGTTAAGTATTGGGTAAATTGTTATTAATAGTTTTCCAGTGGGATTAAACTACGAATTTGGTTCAGATATGTAGATGATACTTTTGTTGCAGTAGAAAAATACTCACCTGAGATATTTTTTTCTAAATTGATCAATACACTCTTATCTCACATTAAATTTATGAGCAAGAATAAAAATTAACACGGTAAGCTACTATTTTTAGATAGCTTAGTTAAAAGAAATCTAAGTTCATCTCTAAATCTAACCGTATACCGATAGCCAACGCATTCAAATCCTTATATAGAATTCAATTCAGTACATCCATTCAGTGCAAAATCTCTCTGGTCTTAAATCTCTTTAGAAGAATAAATAAGATTATCACACCTGGACAGATTAAACAAAATGAACAGTATATAATTAACATCTTACGATTTAATTATTTTCCTATTAGGATCATTAAAAGTTCAATAAAACGAGACGTTTCACTGCTAAAATAATTCGAATGAAATACCATGGATTGGTACTGTAGTTTTACTATACCGCTATGGTACAACAGCAGAACTCCAAAGAGTCTTAAAATAACACAGAGTCAAAGCATACTAAGAAACAACCAACACCTTGTGAAATGTTTTAGTTCTCATAAAGGAAAAAATCCCCGTTACGTCAATACAGAATTGTGTCTACAAATTAGGATGAGTTGATTGTGGTAATTTTTATATTGAAGACTCATCTCGTAACTTGAGTCGTTTTTTACAGAAACATTTACAGGACTAGTTCTTCAGGATAAAAATTAAATTCAAATAAACAGTAAATTCTAAGATGTAATCACTGTTTACTGTAACTCTACTATAAATATTCATTTCAGTCGGATAGAAATAAAACTATTTGTGATGGGCAAATACATATGGTTCCATTTATAAAGGTTCACTTAGTATATATTACTTTGCTAGCCAACCCTATTCAGAATAAAGTAACTAATATTTGCTTAGTTATTTTTACAATTTAGTAAATAATTTCCACTATAAAATGACTTCAGCACTGACGCTTCACAAAGTAGTTGTAGAAAGAAATAAATGTCCGGTACTTACTACTTACTTGATAAGTCGATATCACAGTTAGATTCTCCATAAGATAGATTATTCAAGCTTTCAATTCTATTAAATTAGCTTAAATCGATAGTTGGTTCAATCAAAACGAATAACTTGGCACTAAATTAAATAAAAACTGAAATCTAGTTATAAGTTTTTTTCTTCAACTCAGTGCGTAGAAAACTAGTTACCCAAAGACTCCTACTCTAGACCTTCGTGATCTACATATTTTCAAACTTACAGTTATCATCCTGTGTGACCGTTCAGTTTCATAAATAGCTGTTATATGTAGGCGGATTTCCAGTAATGAAAATCAACGAGATTTTGAATTGTCCCACAAACGTTCTTTTTAACAAACATAATACATATTATTAAGTTATATATATATATATATATATATATATATATATATATATATATATATATATATATATATATATATATATATATATATACGAGATTAAATTGTTACAGACAGACAACCTTGAATAAAAGATCACATGTTTGATTCATAGCGTTCTACCTCTAAATGGCTTCCACCAATTTAAGCTTCCCAGTATGCTTACCCTACTTTAGGTTATTTACTATAAATTTATAAAGGCTGTTTTTATTATGTCTACTAATAATTAACATCAGTCGATTAAAAAGTATTAGTGAAAAGCTAACTCATAATCCTGTGCTAAATATATGAGGGAAATGATCTGAAGTAAATTCACAATTGCTGCTTATTGACAGACTAGTATTTGTAATGTGATCGCTTTTCTTCAGTCACTGAACATCAAGCTCAAATGTACCAAATTACTGAGTGATGTATTTTAACGATTGCATTACACAAGCTATAATATATCTATTATATCCATGTTGCGCAACGTATGCGAATGCTGAAAATTTATTGTTTTCAACACTGACTAGTTGAAGCAAACTATAGAAAGCACCATTTAATCATACGGATAGAAGATTTATTCCAAAAGCCTTACGACAACCGTTCAACAATAAATTATATGTTATCTTTTCCAAAATTGTAACTCAGGAAAACAATTATTTCAAAATATTGTTGAAGTAATAGAGTATGGAATGCATTTTTGTACAAAATAACATATCCAAGATAATATTTTCCAATAAACTGAGTAGATCCTCTGTCATTAGTTGTATGGTTGAAATTCACGACTGAAGTGATCAGTCCGAGTTACCAATAAGGTCGATAATAATAATAGTTTAAAAAATAGTTATCATTTTTGACGGTGGATAGAAATGGGAACCAGGATACAAGATTTAAATTTCAGAAACATCTACACCGTTTCTCATATACATACAGCTGACAAAATACCAAGTAGTACAAAACGGATTATGGATTTTACTAGTAGCTATTATCCTAATTAATGAATCTTCTTCTTACTATGATGCAAATATCAGAAAGCCTTCAATCGATATGGTTTTAAAGAAACAAGTTAATAGACTACAAGTCTATCAGTACTAAAACCATATTTATTTTACTTTAATTGGGAAAAAACAAGTGTTGATCATATAGAAATATTCACAGAAAGGATAATTAGTGTAGCGAAAATATTTGACATTAATTCCTATAACTAAAATATGAATTTGACACTCCATCTAACATATAGAAAAACGAACAAAAGATTTTTATTCATTTGGTGTTCCTAAATAGGATAAGACGCGCGTCATCGATTCCACTGCTAGCCACCAACCATCTTTGCTTGTAAAAGATTTCTATGTTATTCAATTTGTCTGAGTTAACAAGTCTTCATACAGAACAATTATATTCCTCTCTAGTAGATTTATACACAGACACAAATAAGTAATAATTTAGGGATTGCTAACTTGATAACTAATCAATAGGATAATATTACAAATTATTATCTGGCTAACATATAATGTTAAATATATATAAAATTATGCTGAAAAACAAATGACCAAAGTAAGAGATTTGAAATACCTATAGCTGTTTATACTTTAATTGTAAAGTAATTCAATTCTTCTGGTTAGCGTTTTTTTAGCGAGTTAGTTTTCTACGGGATGGGGTCGCTAACCCCATGCCCAACCCTCCTCCTTTATCCGGGCTTGGGACCGGCAGTAGCCCCCGGAAAGGGGCTCCAGGCGGAGGGAGCACGGGAAGCACGGGATACAGTGGATAGCTAGGATGCAGTTGGATGATCTAGACTTCGCAGATGATCTGGCTCTTCTATCGCACACACAACAACAAATGCAGGAGAAGACAACCAGTGTAGCTGCAGCCTCAGCAGCAATAGGTCTCAATATACACAAAGGGAAAAGCAAGATTCTTCGATACAACACAACATGTACCAATCCAATCACAATTGACGGAGAAGCTTTGGAAGATGTAAAAACCTTTACATATTTGGGCAGTATCATCGATGAACACGGTGGATCTGATGCAGATGTGAAGGCACGGATTGGCAAAGCAAGAGCAGCATATTTACAACTGAAGAATATCTGGAACTCAAAACAATTGGCAACCAACACCAAAGTCAGAATTTTCAATACAAATGTCAAGACAGTTCTACTGTATGGGGCGGAAACCTGGAAAACTACGAAATCCATCATCCAGAAGATACAGGTGTTTATTAACAGTTGTCTACGCAAAATACTTCAGATCCGCTGGCCGGACACTATTAGCAACAACCTACTGTGGGAGGGAACAAATCAGATCCCAGTGGAGGAAGAAATCAGGAAGAAGAGCTGGAAGTGGATAGGACACACATTGAGGAAAGCACCGAACTGCGTCACAAGACAAGCCCTCATATGGAATCCTCAAGGCCGAAGGAGGAGTGGAAGACCAAAGAATACATTACTCCGAGAAATGGAGATAGATATGAGAAAAATGAACAAGAATTGGATGGAACTAGAAAAGAAGGCTCAGGACAGAGTGGGTTGGAGAATGCTGGTCGGCGGCCTATGCTCCATTGGGAGTAACAGGCGTAAGTAAGTAAGTAAGTAATTCAATTCTTCAGGTGAATGATGTAATATGCATGATATAACTTCAGACAAATCATCAACTCTCTGAGGATGATTTGTACTGCAATAGTTGTTAATTATGAATGTTAGCTGATTTAGATTACAAAAAGGCCACTATAGGAAACCTGGAAGCACTCGATGGCCGTTTCGTCCTAGTATGGGACCCCTCAGTAGTGAACATCCACAATCTCGCATGTGGGACTTGTGAACGCATGATCTCCAGACCACTGAGCCGGCATCCAACGCCGTTAATGTCTAGCTTCAATCGATCTGTGATCTTGCGCAACCATTCATCCATTGTCTGAAGTAGATACCTGTCTCTATCCGACGCGGATTAGACTTCGCTGGTCACGGCTTTCCACTAGAATCCCAGGAGATCCATCTTGAAGCCAGTCACTATTGAGCACATGATTTTTCAGTGTGTTCCTCAAAAAACTAATTAACCAAAGACAATAGTTGATAGTAATCGAATGGTAATGAAAAATAATACGAAGCAAGGAATTTCGTTTTGTATTGTCTATGCTTTCATACCGACTCAGAAGAAATCATCAGTCATCATAATGATTTACTATCAACT